TTCCAGCTCAATCCTAGCACACACACGCATGAACTGAGGTTCCTATAGGCTAGGGTCAGGTTGGCGTACGATCAAATGAGATGAAGAATTCAGCAGAGGAATTTGGTAATGATGCTGCTATGATTAAGTGCATTCCGTTCTATCCAATGTAAAAATACGACGAGTGGGCGATTAGTTGGCGTTAAGGTGGCTGTTGAATGAACAGCGATGAAATCGCTTCAGCTGTAGTTATTAGACAGTTGAGGTGAGCAATTTTAGTGTTTGCGTATGCGTTTCTCGGTGCTGTAACGAGTAAATGAGTATATTGCTGCTTTGATCAACAATCTCCTCCACATCGTTCGGTGCAGCAGCAGCAGTATAGCACAATAACATTCACAAACACTTATTTACGTTCAATACCATCAAACTTTATCATCAGAATCAATAGCTTAGGCCCTCAGACACAAGCGAACATCATCATCAGCATTGCTGGCTCAATCACGCACTGATCGCTATTTTCGATCAACTGCAGTTTTTTTTCAGTGTTCATTTGAATTATCTTCATCCCATTAGGTTATCACACTTTGGCTAGTTTCCTTTCAACTTAGATTTCATGGTTTGCAGGGTGTGGGATACTAATGGTTGGAATTGAATCACAGTTTAGTTGCTTCTCTGATTTTAATTGCCAGTTCATACTTTGTACTGACATTCTATAAATCTTTTTGTGCATTAACCATTGTATCATGCATTAATCTGTTCATCCCCGCAATTTATCCGCTGGTTCTTATGATTTTGCTGTCATATATTGAGCGATTATTCATTATGTAATGGAGCCATAAAATAGCAATGTTCCTGAAATTGATAGTCAAATCGTTGCTACCGTGTCGATAATGATAATATTGATAGGGTGACTGATAATAAGAACATTGAAATAACGATATTTGCATGAATTCCATTGAGGTGATCATCATGTCAGAATACTTGGGCACCAGAGATCATGCGGCAAGACCGTCGAGTTGGGATATGCCCCAATCAGGATCATCAAGAAGTACATTCGATCGTAATATCATGCCTGGAGGTCCAGCAACGGCCGGTTTCGAGAATTATATTCGAAGTATCTATCGACCTGGCGCAAAATTGCCATCTGCTGAAATTTTACCAATAAGTGCTAGTGCAATGCTGCGTATGCATGATCAGCTCGGCAGATCAGCGCTTGATGAATCATGTAAATCAATTCGTTTATCATAAAAATGTTCTTTCACTGATTCTTTCGATGAGTGAAGGCGAACTCAGCGTAAA